TTTGGTGGCAGCTGGGAAAAAAAAAACGGGAAGTTTGCGATGTGACTCAGTTCAACTTCTTTCATTTAATTAGACTCAAGTATGAAATAATGTATTAAAAAAGCCAAATGGTGCAGTTGAAGTTTACTCCAGTCGTTTTCCAGTTGTATTGATATGCAGTTCTGAAATGCAGGTGCGCGATCAATGTAAACAAAGCAGCTCGACTGAATCTTCTGAAAATCAGGCTTGAGTTGCATGATTCCTATTACTGTCTTTAAGTCAAGAGCTGCTTGAACAGATAGTGAAGTGGTGCGAAGAGCTGGGAGAGATGCATGAACTCACAATCCCTGGACTCCAGGCAGGTATAGATGTGTGGATCCATTTTAAAAAGTGTCTCATGAGCTGCTCTGCGAGTTCCAGCCCCTTCCATCAGGCCAGAGATACTCAAAAAACAGCTGTCATCAGTCTATTAAATATGTCTTAGATTGAGTTTAGTTTTTAATCATTTTTATTTAGTCTTATTTTGTCAAATTTTGTTCTTGTTTCATATTTTTATCATATTTTGTTATATATTGTTTTTAAAGGTAGGGGCATTTTATTTATTTTATTACTATTAACTGGTCATTATTTTTATTATATTAATGGTCATTAAGCTTGTTTTATGGTTTAAAATCTAGTTTTATTTAAAAATGAACACATTGGTGGGTCGAACGGAGCTCACCCGTGGGCCCGATTTGGCCCCCGGGCCACCAGTTGAAAAGCCCTGGTCTATTGTTATGTGTACATCAAATGGTGTGGAAAGAGAAGATGACTCACTTCACTGTAATCAAATCTTACTACCAGTACAAATAAAGTTGACTGGTTGATTAATTGATTCATTTACATTATGCTGGCCTTAAATAAATATGTACAGTAAGTTTAATTTAATAATTTTCAGTGACTTTTCGAACTATAAGGTGCATTAAGCAAAACAAAACCGTGAGATAAGTCAAACTTTATTCAACACATTCACAATGACCACATAAAATTGATTTGAGGTCAGTAAGTGCAACCAGAATTAATTCAGTTCAATACTTTATTAATCCAAAAGGGAAATTAATTGTTGTTGTAGCTCATCATCCTGGTTTCATTAGTTGTTCTAGATGCTGATGGATTTGAGCAGGTAGGATCTCTTGTAGCAGTCCGTCCCCACAGCGGATCCAAAGAAACTGGCTGCAGATGCTGATCCATCCACCCAGACCCAGCAGACGTCTCGGTCCTCTTGAGTAGCAGGACTGCCTGAATGCCGGGCAGAGCTCCCCCCAAGCGATAGCCATTTCTCCCAGCAGCCTGCTGAGCCCCTCATCGCCACAGACTTAACTGCAGGTGCTGGGGAACGATCTCGGACCTCCCGCTGTCACGAGCCACGTTTCCCGCTACCTCCAAGAGCTCGGTGATCAGGAACTCGAGCACCGCCTCCAGATAGACGGGAATGCATCCATGGCACCTCCTTTTCAACTCATTTGGGTTTTGGGACTGTAGTTGAGGTATTATGTGAGCTTTTGAAATGTTAATCATCTGCTCCCAGTTGTATAAAACTGCCTTGTTGTTATGGTTACGCATCATAACAAATGTCCAAAAGTCAAAAAGGTTTCATTAAAAATCCTTCCAGTGGCACAGCATTTGATACAAGAGGAAGTAATCATCAGAAAAAAAGGCAATTTACATCCAGAAAAAGAAGAATTAAAGTTTTCAAAAGCAAAAGAGCTACTCCAACATGCAGCCACCTTGAGCGGCGCAATTCTAGAATACATAAGGCTTACTGTCAATTTTGAGAAAATTTAAGGATTTTATGTGTGCCTTATAGTCCGAAAAATATGGTCAATAAACATAGATTGTAGCTAGTATTCGGTTTAACATAACAATTTTTTTTAAGACACATTAACCTTTGATGTGAAGAAATAAATAATGTGTGGATTTTCTGAATTCAAATTTTTTATGACTTTGCAAAGAGTTCCTTTTAAAAAGTCAATTAAATTGATCAAAGGTGGTAAATTTAGATTCAGAAAAATAAACTGTGCGTGCGTGTGCTGGGAGGCCTTTTTATGATGTTGCGTTTGCAGGACTGAAACGACCTTCATGACTTCCTCTTCCATTATATTCTTATTATGTTAAAAAAAAAAAACCCTGCTTTTAGACATCTATCCATGCAGCTTTGCAGACATATCCTTGTATCTGCCGTCAAGCCAAAGGACTTCCTTTGTGGAAAACTTTTCTCTGGAAAGAGATCATCATGCTGTCCACACCCAAAGACATAAGGATGTCAACAATATCACACTGTGTGGACTGCTGCTCATAACATCACTTTGTCAAATCAGATGGCACAAATCTGATTCTGTGTTACAGGCCTTTAAGAAAATGACACATATTGTAACAAGTGCACATATTTTGTTTGTTTGCCCATGTTCATGTTAATGAAACTTACAGAAAGTCATTAATGGATGCATGGCTACAACTGATTAACTTTTGATGGCTACTGACTAAAATAACAAAAAAATGGCTGTAACTCTGCCATTTTTACAGGAATTGTTCTAAAATTTGATGTGAAATAGCTGAGGTGTATTCACAGCGCATGATCCGAGCGTGACATGATCATTAAATTATTAGTATAGAAGCATAATGCCACGTTTAGTTAAAATGTATTGTTTGAAAAATAGTTTTATTCTTGAGCAGAAGACTTTCTGAAAATTATCTTCAAGCTATAGCTTATATTTCGAGCACACGTGTCATAAGGAATTAAATTAAATGTAAACTTAATTATCCCCTTTTTTTTTTCCCCTTTTAAGTCCAGTTTTCAATGTCGTGTTAAAAAGGACATAAATGTCTGCCAGAGCAAAGCACATTAAATAGAAATGCAGTGGAGCTGCATATTTTTTCTAAACCCTGAAGAAGAAAATCATTAGTGGATGAAGTAAATGAAAATGTCAGCCTGGAATTTAAAAGCAGACAAACTTCAACATTTCTGATCTAAAGCCTCGCAGCACTTAAAGTCACAGCTTGCTTTTTCCAAGTAAAATATTTAATAATGAGCTCTTGTCATTTTTTACACGCGGTCCTCTGATTTATTGGAGCGGTGTCAAATACGTTGGGCCAGCTGTGTTGGAGATTTATGAGCCTAATGACAGACGGTGCAAAGTACTCATTGAAAACATAAATTGCATATTGTATTGTAAATTCAATTGTTTGTGCGTCTGTGATTAATTTTCCTTTACCATAGAAATGATGTTAGAAACTCAAATGTTTCCTTCAATCAAGTTATTTTTATGATTTTATTTCTGTAGCATTTGCGTTTTATTTCTTAGGTGGGCATTTTATTTCCAGTTGTGGATCCATTGTCGTTATTGCATGGCTAACTTTATTACGAGACGAAAGCTGGGATTGATTAGTCGAACTTTTTCAGAGCATCCTGGCTTCACTGTTTTTATAAACACCAAGTTGGGTCAAGCAGGAAGAGCAAATTCAGTTACAGTAACCACTGCTGCGACGCAGACCGTTTAGATGTTTAATATCAATACGAGCAACAATTGTGTCTTTTATTACAACTCAGCTGTCCCTGTGATCGTACTGATTACATGTCTATTACACAGTTTACCTGATAGAAATTCACATGATTTGACTTTATTTACAGATATTCTTAACACAGTATGATTTGATTTTGAATGTCATTGTTTCTGTGTTATGTTTTTATTTTGATGCTTTTAATTGCATCTTGTCATTATTATCTTTCTTTAATTTAATAAGCCCATATGCATGATATCTGAGTCGAACTGAGCAGGTTAATGCGGAATAAATCCACAAGGCGATTTACACGCTGCTGTTTTTGCAAAACCAAATTGTTTGGTTTGAACGTATGCATATTGTTAATACTCCAGTTTGGAACAATAGGTATCTTTTATGGAATAGAAAATAGTTCTGTTTAGAGAACTAATTTTCTAAAGGTATCTGGGCTATATCACACTTCATGAATGATAATGGTGATATTTTATTGTTCAGCGAGTTTTGTTTGAAGTTTAATATTGTTTGTGATGTCAAGATTTACAACAGGCTGATGAAAGCATTACCAACACCTCTTAAATCTATGGTTAGATAAGATTTGATTCACTCCAAAACATCCCCTGCTCTGAGTCAACTGTACATAGAAAACATAGACTTTAGAGATAAAATGATGACAAACAAGCTCATGAGGAGAGTTTTACAGAAAGAATTGTACCCTGGTCAAATCAAACGTCACTATATTCTTAAAGATCTCCGAATGGATATAATTTCTAAATTTAGGACAAAATATATCTCTTTTCCACTTCCTCCAAAAGTAAAGGAAGTCCATTTTAAAATACTAAATCACATCTACCCAACAAATGCCTTTATCAGATCTAGATTTAATTTTGATACTGCTGGTTGTACATTTTGTGATAATGAAGAGGAGGATTTAGATCTTTTTTCAACTGTAGTGTCTCTCAAGACTTTTGGAGCAGGATGTGGGATTGGCTTCAGGCCCAGGGAATGGAATTGCCAGATCTGACCTTAACAATAATAAAAGTTGGAGTTTATTTTCAAAATTCTTAAATATAAATTTAATTAATAACCTTAATATTACTAGGAAAGTTTTTTGATCATAAATGTAGATTTTTTTTTCAGGTGAATCCAAATTTATGTCATTGGGGAAATGACCTGAAATCTTTTTGTGAGTCTCTTAAGTTGGTTAAAAGTATCTGCTCAACAGCTTTATACTTTGATTAATAACTTTAATTTGATATACATTTGTTCCTTGTTTTTTTTTTTTATATATATATATTTTTTTTTTATGTATATAACTCAACCTGTGAAAGTTAACTGATCCTTTGTATTACTTTTTTTTTTTTTTTTCCTTGATTTGTTTGTAAATTGTTATTCATAATAAAAAAAAAGTTTTGTTGTATTGTGGAACCGGAAGTCATGTTATCACGCCGGCTTTTACTTTGAAAAGCATTTTAAGTATTGACCGGATGTTCCTTTCTGCTGCGGCCGCTTCATCATCAGGCAGACTGGAAGGAGCAGCAGCAGGACAGGAGCAAACCTTGTTTCCTCAGCCTCATGCTTCGTCCTGCGGATTTCTGCTCCTTCTGTCCGCTGCCGAAACTATTGTGACCATAATTCTCAAGTTTTATTTATCATTTTATTTGCAAAATCAGCAGGAAAGTGGGGAAGAAGTGGCCCGAGCCATGGAGCTTTATTGCCTGGAGTCGGACATAACCGTGAAAGCCCAGCGTGACCCAAACATCCTCTATGATAACAGAGTGCTGCAAAGTTTATTGACAATCGAGGACAGTTTTTTACCACAATGTTCATATTTTCAGCGGGTTCAGAAGGATATTCAGCCGTATATGAGACGAATGGTTGCAGGTTGGATGCATGAGGTTTGTGGAAACTTACGCATTAATAAGCTAACTGCTTGAGCTAATGCGCATTTTATTCAAGTTTCGCCGCTATCGTAGGGCTAAACGTGGCTTCAGAATGTGTTTTAGTTCAAAATGAGTTGTTCTGGTGCATTTTAATTGTGTGAGAATGACTCACTAAAGTAAAGGCGTGGGGGAGTCGGAAATAAGGCGAAAACTCAATGAACCTAGCTAGTTATTTATCGCTTTACAGCTAAAGTGGTGGCTTTTTTTTTGTTTTTTTGCTAATTAGCTAGCTCAAACGACAGCGGAAGATCTGAGCTTAATTTACATGATGTAAAACTCGACATGTATTAAACCCAATAATTGTTATTAATTTTTAAAGGTGAGCACAGCTCAGGCAGCGTGCTGCAAAGAAAGAGCTTTCAGTTTTAACATCTCGAAAGTTCAAACTTTTTTGTGGCGACTGTCGGAAACGAATCGATAACGTTTTTTTTTTTTTGTTGTTGTTGTTTTTCTCACACTTTGTAAAGTTTTACAAGTGTTTGAGCATGAGGCAGAGCCCAACGAGGAAGAGGATTTGAAATACGAGAGGGGGGGTTGCAGAACGACTTCCTATTGAACTAATTTGTTTCTGCTTTGACTTGGATTTTAAGCCTTTTGTTGTTTTGAAGAGTCGGACAATTAAAACTGTTGCACCTTTTTTTAAGAATGATTGGTTATTCTACATGCAAGAATCTCATCTGCTTTAAAACTTTCTCCAACTTGATAGAACTGTGCTGATATTTTTCAATGTCTGTGCTTCTTTTTCCAGGTTTGTGAAGAGGAAAGCAGTAACGAAGACGTTTTCCCTTTAGCCATTAATTATTTGGACAGAGTTTTAGCAGTGATGCCCACAAGAAAGAGTTATTTGCAGCTGCTGGGAGCTGTGTGCATGTTCCTGGCCTCCAAGTTAAAAGACTGCAGGCCCATATCAGCAGAGAAACTCTGCATGTACACAGACAACTCTATCTCACCACGAGATCTGCTGGTAAGAGCTGGGATTTCAAACACCCCATTCATTCATTCATTTTTTTTTCTCATGCATTCTGCGAGAGCATGAAGACACATTTTTGGGGGTTATTTTATAAAGCTGAGAGCTGAATTAGTCTCACAGGAAGAATCCCATTTTCCTTTATAAGTGAAACTCTTCAAAGCACATGCAGAGCTCTGCTGTGGATCCATGTGGACTGTGGAGTGGTCTGATGCCATCTAGTGCCAACAATGCAGTACAAGGCATGGATATCCTGCAGATTTAAGGATTTTCAGTTACATGTGGGTTTCTTTAAGGGCTAAAAGGTGGCTTTCGTTTTATCAAAAAGTCTGACTTTACAGTTAATCGTTTACCAGATGACTTACAAGGCAGGAGCAGTAAAGTTTCAGTATGCATAAGCATTTGAGGATATAATGCAGGAAGATTAATTATGAGACGTTCTTTAGAGTAGCATGTTTGGATTTAATCATTTATGTTCAATTGTTAGTTTTCTTGACACAAGAATTACCCAAAACATACTGTACCTGGGACTGACTATATCGATCACAAAGTTCCAGTTCAGCATGGGAAACAAATGTTTAATTTAGTTTTAAATAAATGAATATATTTTATTTTGAACCTTAGTAGCACAAGCATGGTCATTTGTACTGTTTGCTAGTTAGCGAAATATAATTTAGTTCAGAACTGTAGTTCAACAAATTTAGATGTGACCCTTAAAACAAAACTCATAAGAATTCAATATTAGTAATTGTTTTTAGCTGTTGAACATCAATTGATCCCACAAGCTAGAAATTGAAATGTTTTAATGCTATTTTCATAAAGGTAACAAAAAGAAATGCGTTGGGATTTTCAAGGCAGCTGTTCAGAAAGTGAACACACGGTCAGCTCAGCTCCACCCTGCTCATCTTACAATCGTTGTTTTCCATGTCTGAAACTGGTTTTTAGCATAAGCAAGTTAGTGATGGGTTATGTGCAGGAAACCAGCGCGGATGAGAATGATGGCGAACATTTCAGATGTCAAGGGTGCTTTTTATGACAGTGGGGACTGCCCCTGTGTGGCGTTGGGGTTTTACTGCTTACTACATTTGTTTTAGGGGGTTTGCTTTACTGTAGAGCGAATGACAAGTTTTATGAAGTGGTTTTTTTTAATGTCATCTGTTTTAAATGCTCGTTAGTTTTAATTTTAACTAGCTTAATTCTTTTTCTAAGTAACATTTTAGCTTTCCAATTATTTGGACTTAACCTAAAATATCTAGAAATATGTTCCTTTTGATTTGAGTCATTTTGCCATCCGTATTTAATGTTGGTTGTTGAGTTTTAGAAACATCAGTGGAAAATCTGTCTGCCATTTTCCCAGTAAATGGAACTACTTGGTGCTTAGTTTTTGGCCCTCAAAGACCCAAATAAAAAATAAAAATATTACACTGGAAAATACTATTTAAATCTTAAATGCATATTCAAAAAAATCACCCATTTCTACCCAGCCCCAATCAAAATAACTTATTTTGTCTTTTTGTTTCTCACACCAGATTATACGCAAGTCGCTTCATTTGACGCAAGTCGCTTCATTTGACGCAAGTCGCTTCATTTGACGCAAGTCGCTTCATTTGACGCAAGTCGCTTCATTTGACGCAAGTCGCTTCATTTGACGCAAGTCGCTTCATTAGACGCAAGTCGCTTCATTAGACGCAAGTCGCTTCATTAGACGCAAGTTGCTTCCCTAAATTTTGTTTCACAGGAAGCTGTCATGCTGAAGCAAACTGTACTGGCATAAATTCAAGTCATATCTATTTAATGCTTGAAAATCAGAATGTGTGTTTAAAAAAAAATTGTAAGAAATAAACTAGTTACAATTTTTATTTTTTTCTTAAGGTCTGTTTTCAGATGCAAAGCAAAACTGTGTAAAACTGTACTCAAGTTCCTTAACTTGCGTGTTCGTTTCAACTTGCTAGTACGGATTACGACAGGATGTTTCTTCCTCTCAGCTGATTTATGGTTTATTGGAACAAAAGCAAAATCATTGTCCAAATATGAATTTTTTTTTTAAATCATGTTCGGTAGTGCTGGCACCATCCTCCAAATTGTGAAAGACATTTGCAAGAGAGTTTCAAAAATAATTACCTCGCGCATGTTGTGGGCCTTGCTTTTGTGTTGCAGGACTTTTGGATGAGTTGAAACATTTGTAAAACAAATTATAAAGGGCTATCTCACTGAGCTGTGATTGCTGGAAGACTAGGTGTCTACTCCAAATTGTGGTAAAATACGTTGAATCTTTATTGAAGTGTCCCTGAACTGAGTTTTTGCGAACAATGAGTCTGCATCTTGAGAATGTAGTTTTTTTTTTTCCCAAAAAAATTTGACTATTTTTGTATGTGCTGCTTGCAAAACCAAATTCTTGGCCATGTACAGTATTTTGTTATCCACCTTTGCTCTCCACAAAAACATCACCTTAATGTGGGGGTGGGGTTTGAGTTCCCCCGTGATTCTGGAGGCTTATTATCTTCCAAGACTTAAACCTCCAGAGAGGTGACGTTTCACATCGTCAAGTCTACGCTGCCAGTAGTCAGTCTGACCAGGGACATTTCATCGTCTGCCACCCAGCTCACTTCACACCCGACCTTAAAATCCTCCTCACAGGTGGTGGACCCATATGGAGGTGGCCTTTTATCACTTTTCTGGACTTGAACTAGCCAAGCCCCAAGAGTCTAGGCTCAGTCACAAGGTGTTCGCCAGCAAGCTCCTACAAATGTCTGGCTCCAGGGGGGTGCTCTGGTTTTTCTTTTATGGGTGAGGTATACTGACAAGTTGGACGTTTATTATTGAGGTTTTGTCCAATCGCTTTTAGTACAACTCCTCCCTTGAGACCAATTTGCCATGGGAGACCCTACGGAGGGATGGGAAAATAAAAACGGGCATGGGAGGAAGTCTGAGAGTCCAAAGAGAATGGCTTTTAGTTTTATATTTTTGACCAATTCAAGAGAAAATTTGTTGCATAGATTCTTGGAACACGTTTTAAACTTGAGCGAAGAGGACTTTGCATTTCATCCAAGGAAATTAACATACTTCAAAACATTGGCTTCACTTTTCAGACTTGGATTGTTTTCAAATTTTATTTACACCAGCTCGACTTTCTTGGAAAGAAAAAAAAACACCTTGCACAGAAACAGTTCTATGTCATATAAGCTTCGCCCTTTAAGGCCTTCGCTTTAGTGGGTTTATCCCGTTATGCAGAGCATAAGCACTGAAAAAAAATTAGTCCACGCCCACCTGCTGTGTGGGCCCTACCCGGTCCGTATAAATTACGTTAAGAGCGGGAAATCGGCTCCCATTTTTTCTTCAGCGAGCTAATATAGCACTGTCAGAAGAACAAAGAAGATAAGTTGTGTAAATGACCAACCTTGTGAAGGATGCTGGGCCCGGCAGTCGACCTCCGGTCGTCCGGTGAGTTCTCCTCCCCGAGGAGAAGATGACAGCAGTCTTATTCCAAGGTAAGCGTCGTGGAACATTTCCCAGTGACAGGTCACTACACGCTGGACAACGCCATCTTGTGTTTTTTCCTCTTATCGCCGACCCTCGGGGCGAACCGGATGGTTCCTCCGGGGCAAGGCGTGCTCAGCTGCAGCCCCCGCTGCTCATTCCCTCCCGGGTAGCGTAGTGTAGGTGGAGGGGGGCTGAGTGAATGCTCACCCCATCCCACCTCGTTTCGCATCGGCGATCACACCGCTCCCGGCCGACGGCGCCCTCAGGGGTTGCCCGGCGGAACCCGGGAGGAGGCTGACATGAAGGGACCCCTTTTTTCTACGTCCCTCGCCTTTTCCCGCCAGTTCGGATGATCGGCGGGAAGGTTGTTTTTCACTGGGCTCCACTGTGGCTCACCGTCTTGATCCATACGGCCTCACGTTCCAACAGGACGTTCCACGGGCGAGGCCGCAGACGGTTCTTTCCTGGTAGATTAGAGGAGTCGGTCCCCAGTCCGCTCCCATCACCAGAGTTGAGGGATTCACCGAGCGGGGCTATTCCTCGGTAACCCCTCCTGGAGCCAAGCCTCGCGGAAGCTTCCGGAGCGAAGCTGCCCAGGCCGGAGCAGCGTCCCGTCCCTCCGGAGGAACACGAACCAGACGGCGAACACGCTCTCGAATCGAGCCCACCAATGTGTTTTTCAGGCAGCCGCAGTTAGCAACAACGCGCGCTGCTAGCACATAGCATGTCCAAGGGATTGAAGGCCGCAGACCTGCCTTGGAGACAAAGAACTCCCTCTGTCAGGCAGCTGACGCCAGCTCAACATGTGTGCCTCTCCCACGGTTTGCCTGTCGAGGACTGCAGCGCGGAGGACGACGACCCAACGACCCACCTGGTTTCGTTACTCCCCTCGCTGCCGGAGAATCTGCACAAGACCTGATGAAACATCGCGGACGCGCTGTTCAGAGCAGCTTCAAACCATGCTGGCGAAGTGAAACAGTCGGAGGAGGTGCCAGAGGCTGTGCACCACCTCATCAAGCCGCGCGGCCCACCCTGTCCCGCTGGAGGGACCGTCGCGAGCAAGCTTCGACTTTTCCACGGCCGCGGCTCTCGCTGAGTTCCACCACCAGCCCCGCCCGTCAGAATCCAGCCCTCTGCACTCCGGCAGCCTGCAGCTCAGCGTTTCCCCAGAGTTCGCCTGCAAGACAGCGCTCTGGGCAAACAATCGCAGAGCTCATGAGAGAGAAAGCTCTCAAAATGACGGTCTCCGGAGGGTGTGTGTAAAAGTGACACGAAAGTTGAAATAAATCATCATTAATGATCAAGTGTCTGTTTTTTAGCCAGTCTGTAAGCCCGGATGAGCTCACAGCGGCCGCACACATAAGAGCCGGTGTCCTTTATAAGGCTTTTTAAACTCACCGCCGCTCCAAGACATTATTAATCGCTTACAGGGCACGATGGTAAGTGAAAATAACTCGTTATAATCCCGGGCTGCACGTTTTTCACCCAAGTGATGTCAACTCGTACCCGTGGGATGA